CCTCTGTGAAATTTCATTATATTCACTAAAAATCCAAAAAAAACAAAAGAGAGAGAGGGGAGGGCAGCAAAAGGGGAGCGGCGAAGCCCTGCTGGTTCGCTCACTTCATCACAGGTATGCTCCCATACATCTTTTGCATTTGTACTAATATGTTATGTTTGAGTATATATGTTGCGTTTTAGTTTTAGTTCCATATATTTTAGCACATCTGTAGCACACAGCACATATGTGTAGATCCAGAGCATAGAATATAATAGTATGAATTGAGACATAGACAGTAGTGTTAATTGTAAGATGTAGTTTAGTTTGATCTGGAGAATGTAACGTACTTTTAGAAATTTAGAGGACAATATTGTAGAGAATGTAACTTAGGGCGTAGTACAGAAATGCGAGGTTAACGCAGTTAATGTTTTCATCAGGCACAATGTCAAGTAAGGTCACATTTTCGTTGAGCCTCACTGCCCGCAGCGTGTGATGAGACAGTTCGGACTTAGGCAGGTGTTTCCGGGCAACGTGCAGCCGACCGTCCCCCCTGCCGACCACTCGTGAGTTCGGATTGTTCATTTCTAAATTTTTATGATAATTACATCATCGAGCCATATAATTTACCTCTCTTCACAGGTTGACTCGACGGGGACAGCTAGCAGGCGCACTTTGGGCTCTACGTGTACAGCAGTACGTTGACGACTGGGTGTTAGCTACAGAGGAGGTGATCAACGAGCTCTTCCCACACACGGAGGAGAACTACCGTGACTACCTTCGCTGGTACCTTCCTCGCACTCGTGCGCGTGTGACCTTCACTCCAGACGCCCCAGAGCCGCACGTTGCCGCTGTCACGGACGCGTATCCCACGCACCGTGACCGAGACTACTTCGTGGCGGTACGTCCAATTTGTATTACTTCCAACAATTATTTCATTTATCTTGCATAATATAGGACAACTACTGAATTTTTTATTTCCATCTTGCATAGGCTGATGCCGCACGGGATATCAGTGCCGATATCACCGCAGTCCAGGTGAGGTTGAACAGAGGTTTGCACTTGACTGACGTTGAGCAGAGGGCGACCTTCGACCGGATGCAGGAGAAGATGCGTGCGGTCATGCGCGTCTTCTCCTGTCGCAGCGCCGTGGACGTCGTACCTCCAGCTGGTCCGGTACACCCACGGCCTCGCGCGCCTACCGTCGGAGCAGGACCTCGTTTGCCTTCGAGCGCCCCTAGCTTCGGAGCAGTGCGACCTACAGCACCGGTTTCGCACGGTACAATTCAGCCCAGATATTAGTTCATTTTTGTTTCAGCTTTTGCACGAATGTGTCACCATGTTTTAACTGCACGTTTCCTCATCGCAGGACCTCGTCTGCCTTCGAGCGCGTTCGCAGGCACGACCGGCACTTCCGCGAGCTCCGCAGGGGCGTTCGCCACCTCTTCGGGCGCGTTCGCCAGCTCTTCCTCTCACGGAGCGTCGATCCCTCGCCCACACGGTACTTTACTTTTTATTACTACTGTTAAATACTTGTACAAAACTGATGGTCCTTGTCCAGCAGGATATGCAGCCGGGATCTTCGGTACTGGGGCCTCTTCGTCTCACGCCGGTAGGACTGGTCCTACTAGCCAGTTCTATGACGACGACTTGCACGGTGCAGACCACCAGGACGTACTAGGCTCCTCTCAGCTTGGAGGAGCTCCAGAGGCGCACACTCAGGAGCAGCCAGAGGTCACACCAGTACAGGCAGGTCGGGTTGGCCGTGCCGTACCCCCGGACCGACTCACGTACTCCCAGGGGCACATTAGGGCGCAGGGTAGGAGGGACAGGGGTAAGAGGCCTCGTCAGTAGTGTTCTACCTCTTCAGTCCTTATGTGACCGTTTCTTTTGGCTTACAAACTTGTAAAGCAGTACTACTTTTGCTATTACTACTGCAGTACTACTTGTGTTTGTCTCGTCTACGTAGTTCTTTTCATTCATATGGTGCTTGAACAACTTATGCTCACAACAACACACTTTCGGCGCTTCACGGTAGTGCCATATCCAGTAGCGCGCACAGTCCACAACAGCACACATGAAAAGCGGCAGCTCAAGTTATCACTATCAACTTTCGGCGCTGCCTGTTGACATAAAGTGAATCACGCCCACGCGTGATCGTCTTGTCACATCTAATGAATAATGTATCTCATTGAGTTCACATATATTGCAGTGAAAACGACGCTATATAATTGACAATCTGAAGGCAACCTCTTCATATCTTCTTTCCCACTAGCACACCACACACGAAAATGGAAGCCTATTAATTGGTAATACGTAATCTAGAATTGAGATTATGTACAACATTCTTCACTACAATTTTACATTTTGGCAGCAAACCAAATATGATCAAATGCAATTTTACCTTACCAAATATTTGGTAGTGCCAAAACTTGCTTATATTTTGGCACTAACAAAATATTTGTACGGTAACAATCCAAATATGCCCTAAAAAATAATAAAATTGTATTTTACCAGTCTTGGAGATTTTAATCTTGTATAGTTTTCAATATAAAAAGATTTGATAACTATTGATATTTATATAAAAAAAATATAGAGCACAGTACAAAATCGCCCTCCCCCAGGGCGGCAAGGGGGCCGCCTGCAAAATTCCATGCCCCCTCGCCGCCCATTTGCAGGCGGCCCCCCACAGTAGAAAATCGCCCTAGCGGAGGGCGGCAAGGGGTCCGCCTGCAAAATTCCATGCCCCCCCTCGCCGCCCATTTGCAGGCGGCCCCCCGCACAGTATAAAATCGCCCTAGCGGAGGGCGGCAAGGGGGCCACCTGCAAATTTCGTTGACGGCCGTCGCCCGAGAGCGAACGGCCGGCTGCCACGTCATTTTCGCCGCCCTCTGGGAGGGCGATTTTTAAAAATCGCCCTCCCAGAGGGCGGTAGGCGACTATTTCCGTCAATTTTCAAAATGGAAAATTATTTTTGTAAAACTTTTAATAAAAAAAATTATAAATAAAAAAAATTCTCTAAACGAATGGCTCAGATCGATCCCGCGTTAGGCCGAATCACTATTGGGTCGCGTGCGCTTCATGGGCCGCAGCAGGTCGACCGGTCGAACAAAAAAATTTAACTTAGACTTTCGGTTAGGGCCCACGCGGCAGTGAGAGATGAAGTAGGGGGAGTTCATTAGACTTATTTTTGGGCCGGACAAGTGTGCGGTTGAGGCGGAGGAGAGGAGAAGGGAGGAAAGCGGGCCAGCTTGGCTGCGGGCTGTATAAAAATGGGCTGAAAATGCCCCAACGAGAGAGTGGAAGATTTCTATTCAAATAAATATTGCAAGGATGTTAGTATTATGAAAATTAGCAATTAAGCTACGCAAATTCCAATAAAATTCCAACTAGCATAATTAATCACGGAGAATTTAATAAAATTAATTTTAACTATACCATTTTATTTCTCGCACTTACTTTACTTGTAAACTAATTTAATTATACACCTACCTACTTAAAAAATATCGAAATTTGTATTTCAATGAATTACATAATGTAAATATTTCTCAACTTTTCCTCAATTTTTTAGTCTTTACAATTCCCGTTGCAACGCACGGGCACTTTTGCTAGTAATCTATAAAACATATAGTAGTCGGACAGTTTTTTTCCCTTTTGGGGGCTTTCATGGGATGGCGTTTTTTCCCTTTTTGCGTTTTTAGCTGTCTTTTCTTTCTCACGGTGTTTTGGCTTTTTTTTTTTGGTTTTTCGCCCTATTTGTGGGCTTTTTAATAGACGCGTTTTTTTAGCCATTTTCTTTGAACGGAGTTTTGCCTCTTTTTTTTTTCCGGCGTCTTTTTTGTTTTTTTTTGGCCGTTTTCTCAGGGACTATAGATGGCCATGTGGACTGCCCGGCACGGTACGGCCTAGGCCCGGCCGTGCCTGGGCCGAGGCATGTTGGGCCGGCACGGCCCGACCGACGCACCGGGCCGTGTCGTACTCACGGCCCAGGCACGGCCCAACACGTCTCGGGCCGTGCCGGGCCGGTCCGAAGGCACGATGGGCCATTGTGCATTTCCTCAGAATAAGTCTAATTTCCCTCCCTCCTATTGGGCTGTGACATATATATAGCTAAAAAGTCTATTTTACGTCCCTTATCTTTGGGCTGTGGTATATGAATAGCTGAAATAAGTCTATTTAAGGTCCCTATTATTTGGACAGTAACATTTATATGTCTATTTTTAGTCTCTATACTTTGTGTGCCGGGCCTGGCCTACCGGCCCATCGTGCCGGGCCAACCCAGCGTGCCGGTGGAGAGGCCCAGGCACAGCCCGGCGGTCAGGCCGGGCCGGCACGGGCCCGACCCAAGTCGGTCCGTGCCGTGCTTGGGCCGGGCCAAAAAGCCGTGCCGTGGGCCGGGCCTTCGGGCCTCAGGCCTTATGGCTCTATATCAGGGACGGCGTTTTCTTTTTTTTTTTCGATTTTCTTTTTGCAGGCGATGTTTAGAATCGAAACCGGTTTTTTTCATCCTTCTTTTTTATCAGGGAGCTTTTTTTATCACTTTTTTTTGCCGCGCCCTTTTTTTCGTGGACCTACCAATTTAAATAAAAATTAATGGATGGATGTTTTACTTTTTGTTCTCATAATTTCTATTATTTTTCTCTAACTTATTAGAGCACCACGTGATGGTCTGAGAGCATTTAATTTGAGAAAGTTTAATTGATTTTTAATATATAATAGATACTCCCTCCGTCCCATAATATAAGGGATTTTAAGTTTTTGCTTACAGTGTTTGACCACTCATCTTATTTAAAAAATTTATGCAAATATAAAAAACGAATAGTTGTGTGTAAAGTATTTTGGATAGTAAAGTAAGTAAAAAAAAGTAAATAATAATTACAAAACTTTTTGAATAAGACGAGTGGTCAAACACTGTAAGCAAAAACTCAAAATCCCTTATATTATGGGACGGAGGGAGTAATAGATATGTAAGTTCAGAAGGAAAAGAAAGTGGAAACGAAAATAGAAGGGATACGATGAGATAAGTGGCAAACTAAATGTACATACTGCTCAATTATATACTAAATTTGTAATTACACTTAACTTTGTGGTAAAACAGAGTTGGAGGCATTGCTATTATATAGCCAAGGAGCGATTTTCCGAAATAATCAATAAAAACCAGGCATTACAATTTCAACGGAGGGAGTAGGAGTATAATATAGAGCGGTAACAACACGATCTACATATTTATCCAGCACGAATCAAGGGTATAAGTGAGTAAGCCGCTAATCCATATAGATCAAAATAAATAGGTTCGCTACTTATTTGGCTTATAGGTGAGTTTCGTGGGTTAGCCTATTGCACCATTAGCACGAATAATGTCGTAGCTAAAACCAGTACCATGGGTCTGCGGTGGACCATGCGGATTATCTGCAACGATGCGTCAAAAAGAAAATATTAGCAGCAATCCAAGGGCGGGGGAACAAAAACAGTACTGCGCGCCGTAGCTCTAGACTCTAGTGATTGCCAAAGCTAAATCTGTTGCAAATATATACAGATGATACTCACGGACTCGTGCGCTGCCTTGCTGAGCCGAGGGCATGGGGACGCCGCTGCCTATCAGGAGAGCCAGCAAAACAAGTCGAATCAGAAGAAGACGGAAGCTGCTCAGAGTGGGCGACATGCTTTGTTCAGCAGGCCAGCTAGCTGCTTTGTGAGCTCACGAACAAACGATACAACCTGTCTGTTTTACCGTCCGTGCCGGGAAGCAACACTCGCCACTTAAAAATGGTTTCATCTTCCAATAACACCAGACAAGATGTCAAATGTGGACATGTTTGAATTCTTCTGCGCTCTGCACTCCTACGGTCGTGGAGTACCTATCAAACGTTCTTAGCGGGACCTGCCCTGTTCTTTTTTTTTTTTCTTATTCGCCGAAGTATTGGAACGGATTATTTCCTCCATGTTTTTTTTAAAATATATATTTTTTAAAAGATTATTCTATTCCGTTTCTACATCATTGTTTAGATTGTATGTTATTTGTTAAATTTATTTTTATTATATCTAATTATATACTAGAAGAATTGCCCGTGCGTTGCAACGGGAAAAGGGTCTAGTAGGATAATATTTATTGTACATATTTACCCCTATTTATTGTTGGGACTGTTTTGGCACCTTAGCTCCATTCACAGAGATCTCATCATGTTAAAGAAGTTAAGAAAAGAAAGAGAAAGTACGGTTTATAAATAGTTGGGTGAGAAGATGAAGTGGAAGGACAGTTGAGGTCGTTGAAAGACAGTAGAGGGAAAAAAAACAACATGCTAAACCCTAACCAGAAAGAGTGAGAGGAGAGGAGAGGAGCAGACATGGAAGAAGAGAACCGCGATGGTAGGAAGTGACGGTTCCAAAGTCACCATCTAATACTCCCTCCGTTTCAAAATGTAAGACTTTCTAGCATTGCTCACATTCATTTAAATGTTAATGAATCTAGACATATGCATGTGTTTATATTCATTAATATCTATATATATGTGAGCAATGTTAGAAAGTCTTACATTGTGAAACGGAGAGAGTAGGTTTTTCCGGTGATGGGCCACTTACACCAAAGTCATTCAACAGTGGTGGTTCTAATGATGGAGGTTGGGTGGCCGCCCAAATCCTGGCCAGCTCAGGTGCTAGCTCGACTAGACACTTGTAATTATAGGGAGCAAGGGAGTAGGAGAGAATTGCGATGTGAGGGAACGAGAATTGCGATGTGAGGGAACGATTAGATCGAGCTTTAGGGTGTGTTGGGGTTTTGTTCGTGGCATATGGGTAATTTTTGTCACAATTCGGAAATACAAACTATGAGCATGACCACCGAATAATCAAGGTCGTTGGATCGGGATGATGAATGAAATAAACCATTACGACTTTTATTAGTTGAATATATTTGGACAACATATCACTTTTGATCGATTAGCGACGGACGATGGAAGCACTATGTATCTTTTCAATAACTAGAAAAAATACCCGTGCGTTGCAATGGGTGAAGGCTATTTTAGACTTATTATTATTATTATTGTTGTTGTTATACGGTTCAGTTAGGGTGAAAATTACTGTAGAAATTTGCTTGGATATTTCTTTTAGAAAATTATAAGCTACTATTAGGAGTCTAACTCTCATCTTAAATTAGCATGCGAGTTTTTTTAAAGTATTTCTTATACGACTCCTTCTGTATTTCCAAAAGCATCCCTAGTTAGCGTGCGAGTTTTTTTTAAAGAGATTTATTATATGACTCTTTCTGTATTTCTAAAAGTGATCAGACTTAAAATAAGACTCAAACATGGATCTATATTTCCAAAAGCGAACGAACTTAGAAACCGACTCAAATACAGATGATCTACGAAAGTACCGACAAAAACATTTTCAATTTTTATAATAGTAGAGATACTCTTTGGTTTTGGGCCAAAACCTCATTTATTCCTTCCTTTTCAGTCTTAGCCCAACCCGTTATCTTCCTCTGTTTTGCGGCCAAAACCTCATTTATTCCTTCCTTTTCAGTCTTAGCCCAACCCGTTATCTTCCTCTGTTTTGCTTGCCTCTCTTTGACCTAGCCCATACTCCCAAAGTTGGTTGAGGGCTTTTGATACACTCGATCTACTCTTTCCGTTTTTACCAAAATATGAGCGAATACATAAAACTCAGATACGGTGATTTTTAAATGTGTATTAGATCCGGTAAATTAGAGCAGAATTGAAAGGAAAAATCATGGGAAAATAATGAGAGAGTAGTGGGTAATCAACTTTTACAATCAATTGTAGAAGAGAACGCATGGGAGGTGATCGTTATGGCAGCGGCGCTAGGGTTCGGCCTGGCAAAAAAAAAAAAAAAAGGAACGGACAAAAAGAAAAAAAGGGAAAAAAGAAAAGAAAAGGGGGGGGGGGGCGAAAAAAGAGACGGACAAAAAAAGACGAATTTGCTATATATTTGTCGACAAATTTTCCACCAAAAATTTGACAGATGTAATTATAGTACAATCGTAGTGTAATTACACTGTAACTTATAATATAACATGTATGTAACTTTCAAAAATATCTCCATAACATTTATTTCGGTAAAATGGAGGTTGTGAGAACAAATTCTTTCACATATGTGTATGATGTGAATTTTTTCTTCCTCACCAGAACAAATTTTGTAATAGATCTAACGATTCAAAATTACGTGAAACTTATATACAAGTTACACTGTAGTTACATGCAAGTTACAGTGTAATTATATACAAGTTACAGTGTAATTACACTACGATTGTACTATAATTACATGTGTCAAATTTTTATAAGAAAATTTGTCGACAAATGTATAGGTGGTCAAAAAAAAGAAAAAAAATAACGGAAAACGGAGAAAAAAAAGGCGGACAGAAAAAAGGCGGTGAAAAAAAAAGTGGACAACAGAAAAAAGAAAGAAAAAAAGGTGAAAATAGCAAAAAAAAAAAGGAAAAAAAAAGAGACGGACGAAAAAATATGCCGGAAACCTTACATATTTTTTTTTATTATATAGGTATAGATATAGATATAGATTTTTAATCAAACAGGTAAAATATCATGCGTCTGTTTAGCAATATCATAAACACTGTATTCATTTAGCAATATCATGTGTATTTTCAGGTTTTTTTTTACTAAATTCTATCTAGGGATGAATTTGTAATTTGCTATACTGTACTTAGAACCACACTTGGATCATTTGAGGGGATCCACAATCGATATTGCGATTGGATTAGTTCACTTATGCTAATTAATACGGTAATGTCACTTTTCTTCGTACAACAGTAGGGAAGACACGTGATATTTTTTACAGTTAGAAAAAATCTTACATGGGCCCGGTCCGTTTTCCTTATCACACGGACACGGGCCAGTAACACGCATGTGCAGGCCTGTATCAGCGCGGGGAAGCGGATATGATTGAATGATGAAAGCGATCAGACGAACCCTCGATACGTAGACGGATAAAAATTAATCCGGACGAAATCTCGATCGGAAAACGAACGAAAATAATCCGAAAGTGAGGTGACGAATAGAAAAATACAAATCAGATTTAGATAGTTGAATTGATAATCATGCCAATGATTCGCTCAGTAATCTAAATTAAATAGACCTTTGTTTTGTTTTTATTCCCAAATTAAGCTAGATTAGTCACTGACCCATGTATAAATTCCGGGTAATATTTTTAAATGAGATAGTTTAAGTAATTTTTAGTATTTATTTGATGTGGTCCTTAGCCTGACCTGGAGGAAGTATGAGCAAGGAGCTGGCAGTACGTGATAAAGGTTGGTTAGCAACCACGACACAAGGAACAAAGCTAGCCTATATTGACTCTGATCATTATACAAGGAACAAGGGGCTTATATATCAGACTCTATATTTATACATGTCATAATTAATATCTTATTTGTAACCATGCAAGCTTACACCACTAAAAAAAGACAAAACAGGTATCACCACTATAGGTGCCGGAACAGCTAAAACCGGCACCTATAATACATTTCCCCACCTCCATGGCCCAAAACAGGAAAAACCGACACCTTATTATAGGTGTCGGTTCTGTAAAAAAAAAAACGATACTAATACTACAGGTGTCAGTTTTTAAATAAAAACCGACACCTTAAATTAATTATAGGTGTCGGTTTTTTAAAGAACTGATAGTATAATAAATTAAAGATATCGTTTTTTTTTTAAAATCGACACCTTTAAAAACCGAGCTGTGAGCCGAGTCACCGCTTCTCATTCTTATCCACCAAGTCACCACCCACCCATTCTTATCCATCCATCCCCACCACGCTCTCTCTCTCTCCTTATCTCTTTTCCCTCAGCTCTCACCTCGCCTCTCTCACAGTCTCGCGTCGTCGGAGGGAAGACAGCGGCAGCCCGGTAGGAGGGGAGGTGGGGGTGGCGGCTGCGGGCGGTGACGAGAGGGGAGGCGGTGGCGGCTGCGGCGCGGTGCCTCCCCTTCACGAGATCTGACCGGGAGCGGCAGCCCAACAGGAGGGGAGGCAGGGGCGGCGGCGGTGGCGGGCGATGGTTGGAGGGAAGGCGGCGGCCCGACAGCATAGGTAGCGGCGGCGCCTCCCCTCTGCCAGATCTGGCTGGGAGCGATGACCTGGCAAGAGGGGAGGCGGGGATGGCGGTGGCGGGCGATGGTTGGAGGGAAGACGGCGGCCCGACAGCAGAGGTAGCGGCGGCGCCTCCCCTCTGCCAGATCTGGCTGGGAGCGATGACCTGGCAGGAGGGGAGGCGGGGATGGCAGCGGTGGGCGATGGCGGGAGGGAAGGCGATGGCCCGGCGGGAGGGGGACTCAGGAGTGTTCATGTGTGTTATTGTGTTCATCTTGTGTGTTCATCTCATGTTCTTGATGTTCTTGAAGTGAAATTGCTCGATGCATCAAGCCGGCTTTTTTTTCGTTCCTGCAGCCTTAAATGTGCCGGTTTATGACTTTCAGTGATTAGTGCGGTCTCGGTGGTGTCCGTTGGGAAAACCAGCACCTAGTGCCGGCTCCCAACCAGCACATATTAGCTTTTGTGTAGTAGTGTTAAGGCTAAAAGAATGACTTGGAAATCGGTTTAGGAGAGAGTTTATCTTCGAAAATAACAATCAAAAAGGTTAAAAGAAAATAAAGAAAAATAGATACGGAGAGAAACAGCTCGTGCGGTCACAAACCTCCCGTGATAGATAAGGTATCAACGGCTGGGGCCTGGGAGGGCTGGGATGGGTTCATCAAGACTGGACAGG